TGAGGTGGAGGAGATAATGTTATTTGCTAGCAAAGGAGTATCCCAAAATCAAAAATCCTTTGCACATGCTCACACTCATAATAACCAGCAGAAGAATCATCCTTTAGTTATTCCCAATACCACCCCTCAAGTACCACCCAAACCATTTTTTTGTGGTACTTTCTTTTGATCTCTATTTTTTGAGATGACAAGAAAATCCTTTTGTATTATGGATCTTACATTTTTTCTGATCATAAATTTCATTTCTAATATTCTATGCAGACATATCAATTGCTAGGAAAGCTTCACTTAGTCGGTTCCTTGAGAAGAGAAAAGATAGGCAAGTGTCTCAAACAAAGAAATGTTGTTGGGTGAATGTATCTATACTTATATATACAAATAATTCTTTAATTTTGTGTATACTATTTTATTTTTATAAATTATAATTACTTCTAATCTATTGAATTACATTTTCTTCTCCAACCTCTTTAATTTCTTTGTTTTTTTTTTATCAAATTTCTTTCACTTCTTAAATAACTAATTACTATTTTTTTTAATATTTTTTATTTTTTAAAAATATAGAGAGGCACATAATGCTTCTTATATGCTAATGTTTATAATGAGGCTTTTCATGTTGTAAATACACATAAACCATATCTTAATTAATTTTGTTAATGTTGTGTTTGCAGAATTGCTGCCAAAGCGTCATATCAAACAAACAATCGCAACTCTTCTAATAAGCTTGGATTATGTGCTAAGCCAACACATATTTGAGTGCAGTTGCAATTCTAAGTTTTTTTTGTTCTTTGATATTTGATTTGCTAGCTCTCTCGTGTTTAACTTCTCTTCTATGACTATTATGATAGATATAACATTAATCGTATTAGATTTTTGGCTCCAATTATTATGATTCCAAGTATTTCCTGTAATTACTATTTCAAATTCTTGAATTCATTCTTATCATCATTTCTTTTGTTCTACCTTTCTTCATTTGTTGTTGTCCTCCGCTCCATTTTCCGCTACTCGTTGCTTTATTTTGCCATTTGGTGAATAATTGTTTGTAAAATTTTATTATAAATAATTCTTAAAATTAATTTTTACAAAGTATTAGGTGGTAAATTATCTTATATTTGACGTTGTTTCCTTTAACAAACTTGATACCGTGTGATGTATTACGCTTTTTACATCGAAAGTTTACGTCGATTATTAAAATCTAACCTAATATGCGGGGCAATGATTTTATTTTTTTTTTATAATGTTGGATTAGCATTCTAATTAAATGAGTTGGCTTATAACTAATTAAAAAATATTTTAGATTTTTTGTATAGATAATTATATTTGACACAAAATATTTTTTAAAAATCAACCGATCTAGAACATGGATGTCATTCACAAATTTTGATATTCCTAAAAACACTTTCATAATTGGTTGTATTAAGAATCAATCTTTCTCAATACAATCTATTTAAATTATTGGTACCTTTTAAAACTTTTAAAATTTCATGTCCGAATATATAAACGATGAGACTCAACCGCAATTTTTTTTTTGTTTTAGAGAAAAGCTTAGATTTTTTTAGTAGAGAAAAATTTAGATTAAGGAAAAATACAACTAGATATATATTTGTTTTAGAAATGAATGAACTTAACTAGTTGTACCATCTTTGTGGGTTTCAAGAGAAAAATATGAGTTTGAACAACTTTACAAAAAATACCTAAAATGAAATAGAATAAAAAATAAAAAATTTAAATATATTTTTAATGCCGGTAAAATAAACAAATTTTCATTTTGGTTCTTGTAAAATTTTTCTTTGTTTTTGATCTCTCTAAAATTCAAAAGTAATGTTTTTATGTTCCTATTTTTATATAATCATTTTTAATTGTTTGTTTATTCATTAAAATGTTAAGTGACCTTTTTTAGATGCTACTCACAATGGTTAGTGATATCATGTGAGTGTTTGATGCTTCTAAAAAAATGTATAGGTCTTCAAAATAAATGTTATATATATATATATATATATATATTAAAATTATTGTTAAATATCAAAAATAATAATTTTAGATTTTAGAGGAATAAAATAAAAAAAATTATATTTTAAGGGAGTAAAACAAAAATTTACTCATTTTGCAAGGATAAAAAATATTTTACAAAGACTAAAAATAATTCTTATAAATTTTAGAAGGATGAAAAATAAATTTTTTTTATAGATATTAAAATCAAAATGCACTAATTTTGCAAAAATTAAAAATATATTTAAGCTAAAATAAATAAAAGGATTATAGATTTGATTAAAGATTAATTTTTCTATTGTGTAACACCTTCTACCCCTCATGTATAATAATATAAAAATAAATTTTCTAAAAAAAATCCATTAAATAACTCAAAACTGAGGCAAAAGGTACCACATTTAGAAGACTAAATCAAACTATTACAGGAAATTATGGAAACATTTTCAAAGGAAATAAATTATAATCCCTATTGCAAAAGAATAAAAAAGTAATCCTATACAAACTCATATTGTCACATGTAATCAGAGCATCTTCATCGACCACCTAAACTGCTCTAAAGTAGAAATCACTTGCATATACATCACAAAGTAAACACAAAGAAATAGGGCAATGATAATATATCTCACTCCGATTACCAGTATAGGAAAAAGTCAGATAACTACACACAAATAATACTCACAATTTGAAATACATAGGGCTCTTCAATAATTAATCCATATATATAAACACTACAACAATTAAAGTAATAATTATAGGTCACACTTCATCACATCTCAACATAAACCAAATCTACAATTCATATGCAAACAATATGTTATGTTCATGTAAAGAGAAGACCCTCCTATTTATATGTATGTGGTGTTAGTAAAACATTTTTATCACTGTTCAATGGCTAAGTAGCCTAGGAGTTCACACCAAGTCAAGTCATCACAACACTATACACTAAAAGGACATACAACTAGGGTCTTATCAGGATAGCAGAGTCGTGCAAGTTTCATCTTATGCACACAATGGACGAAACTGGAACTTCTCAAACTCAACTACCCCAAGGAATGATCCCCAAACTTTTATACAAGAGAACCTTCTCTAACGATGTATTCCATATTGTACTCATCACAACAACACTTATGAAAATGATGAATGATAAACAAACCTTAATGCAAGATTACAATTACAATTCCATACCCACAATATCTCATATCGTAGTTTCATTTCTCTACAAAGCTATACTTACACTTTTCATATACTTATCACAATTCTCTTATCTTCTAATGTCATAGGTTCACAATATATATATCACACACATTATCTATTCCAATTCCATACATTCAATCCACATCTCATTCATAAGAATCATTAAGTACCTAGTTCACACACATAGATCAAGTATATACAAATTCACTTCCAAAAATAGGGTTTCACCCAACGAGGGACACCCTATGCTTGGTGCATTCAAGGCCATGATCATTTGAAAAGATCATGCTTGACGTGATTCTTCACATGCCTGATGAAATGCGTCCAAGGAGTCTTTAGAGCTCTCGCATCCAACATGACCAAGCCCATGCCTGACATGAACAAGGCCATAAGCATTTTGGAACTCTCACGTCTAGTGTGAACTAACCCACAACCGACGTGATCATCCTAAGGAGTAATCTATGGCTTTTATGCTTGACAAGCCCAAGCTACCACTCAACGCTATATTAGTCAGGGTTCATTCTGCATAATTCACGAGTCTTCCCACATACAATTTCCACAACTCATGCAAATTTAATCAAGTAAAGGAGCATTTAAGGTCTAATTAATTTTGTTATTTTCGCATGTAATTTCAAATATACAATTGGTCCTCTACTTAAAGCTTTAGATACATCCTTAGGATTTTCTCAAAACCCACAAACACTCATGGATTCATAATCAAATTCAAATCGTATGTCAAATATATAATCACATACATATATCATTCAAAACACAAAAATTATACATGGCAGATTCATGTCAAGTTTAGGTTTAATCCCTCACATATACATACACATACAATCTAGGGAATGATGACCAATTTCATGTGCCACCCAACAATTAACCTACACCTTGAAGTGATATTCTCACTCCACTTTACCTTGATGGACGCTAAAATCGAGATTCTAACCTCTGCGCTCCTCTCTGGTTCTCTCGAGTTTGTCTTCCTCTTTAGATCACAATATGCATGATCAGATAAAAAGTGAGACAAACCTAATACTACTAACGTATTTAAACAAAAACCCTAACCCTCACCTGCGTGCATAACATGTACATGTTTTTAATTATTTATTTGGGCTAATCGAAGTTGAGCTTTGTATCCCACTTTAGGTACGAACACTACAAAAAATATTACATACAGTAACATATAAAAAATGTCACTAGAGGTACAATATATGTAAATATAAATTTATATAGCTACACACAATTTAAGTGTTGATTTTGAATGTGATTTAACATATTTTGTGTCTTATAGCCTATACCATTTTTTAACAATATATTAACATATACTATATTTAGTGTGTTGGTAAAGTACTTTTTAATGACACTTATTGTGTCACTATAACATGTGTGTCACTATAACGTGTGTGTCACTACATGTCAATTATTTTGTAATGGGGTATAGTATGATGTTTTATTTTATTTTCTTTTTTTATTTTCTTTTTTCTAGAAATGGATTCAAAGTGGTCCGGTTGAATTTTATAGAGGCAAGGAAACAAAAAACAAAGGAAAATGGCCTAGGTTGCCCACAGAAATTAAATTTCGAAAGGCCAGTTACATGTTTAAAGATTTCCATTACCCAACATTTATATTTTATGACGACCAATTAAGATGAAAAGATTTCATGTGAAAATTCATATATCAATGGATATATTTTGGTGGGTGTCACTGATACTAAATAGCGCCACAATAACACGACTACACGTGTAAGAGTTCAATTGAGTTAGACAATACAAGAAACAATAATTTCTTATCATATCAAAAACAGCAATTACAGTAGCACAAGTTCCATTTACCAAACAAGAAAAAATAAAAATAAAAACAAGTTGTACTTGCATATTTACATTAGCAACAAATTAACAAAACAAGTGATGAGCAGAAGTTAATGTAATCAAGAGGACAATGTCTAAAATAGTCCTATATAAACGACTGATTGTATATATCTATGTAAATAAAAAATTACACATTCCAAAACAAGAATTTTTGTCTATTCTGATGAACGTGAACTTGTAAATTTTCAACCGTAAATCAAGCATACAAATAGTTGTATTAGTTACCAAAAAGAAAAAAACACAGTTCTATTAGTTGGAGAGACAAGCTAAGCTTGTGGGGCACTTTCTATTCTCTCACGAGGCAATTCGCACCATCCTATTCTTGGAGATACGAAAAATGAAAATATTTATTTTTAAATACCTATTACTATATTTATTAGAAGATTATAAAAAAATTATCGGATATTTATTATTTTCAGAAAAAGTTATACATATTCTTATGTTTTAGGAATTATTTATTTTCATGATAGTGTGTGAGAAAATGATATTTCTATAAGAATAAAAGAAATTATTATTTTTTTTTTCAAAATTTAAAAATCTTCTTAAAAATATTAAATTATAACCAACTGCATTTTTAAATATATTCAGAAATAACATTATTAATTATAATATTTTTGGAATGTGATTTCTATAAATTTAAAATGATACCTTGTTTTGTTTTGACTGTGAGTTTGTTGATATTGTTAAAATCATCATGTCTGAGGTATTATCACAATTTTGTCTTAAAAAAATGTTTGAGTGAATTTAGAAAAAAGAATGTTTATAAACTATCCTTGAACTTGTCGATTCCTAATTAGTGTGAGACATTTTTAGGCATATCAGAATAAACCTCTTATTGAGGCTTAGAGGTAAGAGTGACTTAGGCTCTTCTTCTAGTGTCAATGTCTAATTGTAAGTTTATTAGACTCGTTAGGATTAACGCATCTAAGGTATTATTCATTTTGACATTTATTAGACCATTACGATTTTATTTAGGGATGACAATGGGTAGGGTCCTATAATACTTGTCTTCATACTTGTGTTAAAAGCAAAACCTATATTTAGCCCTATACCCGCGCATGCAAATCCTCATTCCTCGTACTCGTTAGGTACTTGTATACCCATACCTTACCTGTGAGGCTGTGACTCACATTTTACTTATGTGTAAAGTAAATAAATCAATAAAAAGATAATATTTCACACAAGTAATATAATATTAATTTGCTAGGTCATTAACATTGCAAAAATCTAACATAACAATTCTTATAAATAATAAAGATTAGAAAATATTCAATTCTTGTAAATAATTTTTTTTAAAAAAATCAACATAATAAAAATTATAATTAAATTTTTAACATCATGATTATGTGTTAATAATATTCTCTAAGTCCTGTGAAAAAAACTAAATAAAAATTAGTTAGATTAAAATTATAGATTAAATATACCATAAATTTTAAAAAATAAATATATAGACAATATTTGATCTCATCATTAAAATCAACTTCTTCATATTTTTGCAAACGTTTGTAGTCTATATATTATTTTGATCCAATAATACCAATAGAAACTATATGACAAGAAAATGAATTATTAAAAAATTTAAAATAATAATTAAAATCAATAATAAAAAAATAAAATAACTTATTAAATAAATAAATTTTAATTATTTATTACCTTGTTGTTTGTGTTTCAACTAATTTTGTGCACACATAAGTACCTCCAAAGTAAATTCATGGAACCTAGAATGATGAAAACTCAAAAATCTACCTCTAATACTAAATGCAAGTTTTGAAACTAGGATTGAAATCGAGATCATCAACATCCTTAATAATTTTTTTGCAAAATTGGATACTTAATCCCATTTATTTTCTACCATGCAAGAATGTAAAAAATAACACTTTTAGACAATTTTTCTTCTTCTTTCAAGTAGAGCTTTATTTTAGATGTTTTTTAATTAATGTTTCAATTATATCATTCACAAATGATTCGTGATTACTAAAAAACTTATTAATGTTTATTATCCAAGTTTGACTCATTGACATTTGCTCGTGAAGTTGAACTTTCTACTATTCTTTTAGTTTTAATTTGATACTTTTCAAACAATAAGTAGTATAATTTCTTAATATTATTAATTTCAATTTAAGATGAGCTATTATAAAGCTTAGAAAAAAATATTCCAACAATTTTAACTTGTATCCTAGATTTAAAATAATAACAATATTATTATTATTATTATTATTATTATTATTATTATTATCTATACTAATATATAAAGGAGGTATCCTTTTCGGTAATCACCTTGGTCTCCTTTTTTTTACCATTAAAAAAAATTAGAAAAATATTTTTTAATCAAATTTAAGAATTTGAAACTAATGAATTTATATTAATATATAAAGTGGATACCACTTTCAATAATTACTTTTAGTTTTCATTTTTATATGGATCATTTTATCCTTTGTTTATTTTTCAATAATTACTTTTTTATAAGTTTTTATTTTTTTCTTTATTTATTTATTTTAATACAATACAGGCACGAAGTGTCTTTTTTTTGTTAGTTATATATAAATAAATTATTATTTAATAATTATATTATATTATATATATGTATAATATATATATGTATATAACTGCAGGACAAGATAGGTTGGGTACCATAGTACCTATATCCGTACCCACTAAATTTTGTAGATCTATACCCTTCCCGAACCTATATTTATATAAGTGAGTATTTATCCATTTCATATAAAAGTGTTTTGTAGATACGTATAGGGTCTAGGTCCTTTTTATCATCCTTAATTTTATCTTTGAAAAAATACTCAATCAATTAAGAAAAAAAGATATTTATAAATTATTTTTAACTTTAATTTCTAAATAATGTAAGACTTTTTAAGTATACCAAAACATAACTAAAAAATCTAGAAGAAATTAAATAAATGTGTTCTGGTTGTCGACAGAGAAAACTCTTTCAACGGAGCATTCAAGAGTAATCGACTAAGAGCTAGTTATGTCTATTTAGCCTGCATTCTTTTGTAGTTGTATGCCTGTTTCTATCTCTTATCCCAAATAATTAGGATTGCTTTATCGTTTTAAGTATTTATTTATTTATTTTATATTATGCGTAACTGACTTATTTTTATAATTCTATCTTTACTTACTACATATTCTAATGACTATTAAATTGGCAGGTTAATTATCATGATCGTAATCAATCGGTGAACATGCTCAGTCTCAGACATACTAGCCGGTCGATAGCCTTGAGAACAAGGTCAATCGTCTAACGACCTAGGAGGGTACAAAATGATATGTGGACACTTTTCAATATATGAGGGTGAACAGATGTAACAAAATAATACCGGAATATATATAGACAAATTTTACCACACCTTTGTGTTTTTTTTAGAGGGTTTTGAAATCTTTCTTACGTGGTATAATTATAATGGTGAAGTAATACATATCATGCTACGTCACTTACATGAATAGTGAATTTTTTGAAATTGCTGGAAGGTGGGAGTTAACAAATAATAGATATATAAGAGCATCTACAATAGGAGTTGCTTATAAGCAACTCTCAACCACTTTAAATGGGTCACACTGTGCCACATCACTCATAAACAACTCATCTTATATTTTTACAACTTTTGCTTCAATAGAAATTTCTTATAAGCACCTCAACTTTTTTACAACTTATACTACACTTTTTGACACCTAACATTATATTTTATGATAAATTTTTATAAAATTAATTATTATGAATAATATATAAATATGAATAACTAATAATTAAAACAAATTACATAATTAAAAAATTTCAATAATAAAAAAAATATAAAAAACTTTAATAATAAAAAAAATTACATAATAAAAAAATACCAAAAATTACAATAATAAAAATAAATTTATTAATAAAAAGAAAAACCAAAAATTACAATAATAAAAAGAAATTTCATAATAAAAAAAATTACATAATAAAAAAAATTACATAACAAAAAAAAATACCAAAAATTCACGTCTCACTCTCTCTACACTCTCTTTTCACTCTCGGTTCACTCCCTTCACTCTCCCTTCACTCTATTCATGCGGGGGGTTCTGGCGGCGGTGGTCGCATGCGGAGGGGTCAAGGGCGGAGAGGTTGGGGGGGTTTGTTGGCGGAGGTGGTCGCATGCAGAGGGGTCGCGCGCGGAGGAGTCAAGGGCGGAGGGGTCGCGGGGGTTCTGGCGGAGGTGGTCGCACGCGGGGCGGAGGGGTACGACTTGGTGGTTCTGGTGCTCGCGGGCCAAAGGTGGTTCCCGCGCGGGCGGCGGGTCTGGCTATATGGAGCCGCGCGGGTGGTGGAGGGGTCCGCGCGCCGGCCGGCCGTTCTGGTCATACGGTGGTCCGCCGTGCAGAGGGTGTCGCGCAGAGGAGACGAAGATGAGGTGAACATGTTTTTTTTGGTTTTTTTTTATTTTCATAAATCTGATTCATATTCCGCGCAGATGCATTTTAGCCAATCAAATTTTCTAAAATTTGGAGCCTCAGTACTAAGCGCCGTGCCTTGTACAAGCAACACAAATTTTTTTTTAAGGAACTCATGTGCCATGTAGGATCACTCCAATGGAAGTTTCTAACAAGCACCGTTCCTTAACAATAAGCAACACACTAATGCTGGAGGTGCTCTAACAAAATAATAATACTCCCTCGGATTCACGTATTTGACGCAAACGTTGAAAATTTCTCGGTAACTTTCTTTTTCATCCGAGTATCTTTTGTACTCAACCTTTCAATATTTTTTATTTTAAAAACGATAAATAAAACATCTCTTCAAACTAACATCCAAATTGAAATGACCTAATTAAAAAAAACTAATGATCATAAGGAAAACAAACACTGCCAGTACCCAGTACATTGTCATATGATGGCTTGATCAAGCATGGAACCACTCAGGAACAAACTGTTTCAAGAGATTCATATAAGTATGGTAAAGAAGACGATTTTTGGCACCAGTTCGATGGACTTGGGCGTGCTTGCAAAAATATCTGAGTTGATTAAGGGTACAGCAACCCAGCATCTGGCTTAACCAATTAATTTCCCTTTTCTTAGTGCTCCCAAGGATGGGTTTAGCACTATTTTCTTTTCCACATTGTGAGCATTTTGGCAACTGTGGATTCACCCAAGCATCTGGTGCCCTATCACGCATGTCTCCTTCCCTCCCAATGAATTCCTGTAACTCAGCCACTTTCTCCTCTAGATCGAGCCTCATCTCGAACTCCTGCTCGCACCTCTTGCACTGGACTCTCCCTCTGATCGTTAGAATATTGTTTTGCAACAGATATCTGCGGTTGTGCACGATGGCCCGGCGATCGGTGGCCCAAGGGAAAGGTGCAGGCACGGTTTCACTCTTTCCTTGAGAGGGATTCAGGTCAGCAGCAGCATCTTGATGGTTGTTGTTGTTGTGGTCGGAAGATAACTCTAACGTAGGGTTAGTTTTGCGGTTGGTGGATGATGACTCAAAGGTAGGGTTAGTGCTGTGGCTGGATTCGCTTGAAGAAAACTCTAACATAAGGTTAGTGTTGTGGCTGGTCGATGGCATCCACAAAGAGTCATGGTTAGGGTTAGGGCATGACATTTGCATCTCTAACGACGGGCTATTTGTTTGAGGAGGAAGGAGAGGGTTAGGGTTAGGGTTAGGGTCAGGGGAAGACTTTCTGGCTCTCTTAGAACTAGGAAACCAGAGATAGAAACCAAGATCATCCTGGCGGTCGTGAGCATCCTTATGGTCTTGTAAGTGGTCTGAGTTCTCCATTCCGTAGAAAATGGTTGATGAGAAAAGGAGAAGGAGAAAAAGTGATATAATATTTCTGAGAGACAACAGAAAGTGGATCCTGTAGAGTATAAATAGGAAGAAAGATATATTAAAATGGCTATTCAAATTTCATGATGGCTGTGACGTGTAAAGACTAGTCTTTGCCTTTCTTTTCCGTGTCCGTTTGGGATGCTCACCAAAGGTTGGGTATGTTCAAATATTTGTAGTTGCACAATGGAAATCTTTATGAACGTGATAATTGGTTCAAAATAACTGACTCTTTTCGAGATATAAATTTTATATCTTGTATCGGGAATATATATTTGAATTATGTCAAAAAGTTCAATAAACAAAGTAATTAATTAATTAATTAATACTTCTAACTTCTAAAATCTGATGTGTCCAAAATTATATAACCAAACTAATTCAGTTAATTGAAACTTCTCCCTTTTTATGCGTTTCCACGAGCATAGGTGAAGAAATTTCTAACAAATTAATCTGGTGTTATTTAATTTTTGATTCTTTTAAAATAATTTAAGTTATTACATTAGTAATTAATGTGTTAACTTCGCTGTGACAATTTGAGAATTGTACAAATAAATCTATTTAAATAATTAAAATTAACTAAATCGAATTATCAAATTGCATTGAAAAATATATTTTAAAAAAATCGCATTGAAAAGAAAAAAAAAGGTTTAGTAAGTTCACCAACCAACTTATTTTTATATAAATATATGTGGCTGTGTGCTAGCATAGATAATATTGTATTCTTCAATTAACTATCTTAAAAATTAAACTATGAAAATATATAATAAAAAAAAAATTTAAGACAAATGAAGCATTTATACTTCCAACAAAAATCTTCTTTCTTTTTAAACATGCATTTTTGCTACACATAAAACAAATAATTTATGTAAAATTACATGAGATAAATAATTTATTTGAATAGTCAGTATGTATAATATTTATATATTAAATTTGTAGAAAAGTACTTATTTGACGAACATGATATCAACAATAATAGAAAAATAAAAAAAAATATTATTATTCACAAAGTTTTACGAAAAGATTAGATATTTGATTTTGTAATTACAAAACAAAAGTCCAACCCCAGCTTAATACAGACTGTTTTCATATTTTTAAGCAGACATTGTTTGAAACATTTATAAACTTGGTTTATGATATGTGTATTAAAAGTCAACAATAACAATACTTTATTTCAGTTTATGATATCATTTGGTTGATGCAAAATTTTACGAAAAAAACTTAAAAAACATTTTACTAGAAAAAGTTTAATAATTTTAATTTTTTCATGTGACATAATAATAATGTCAACTTGTTAGTCTATTATTATTATTATTATTATTATTATTATTATTATTATTATTATTATTATTTTATATATATATATATATATATATATATTATGCTCCTTTAAATGCTTATGAATACTCTCCCTTCTATATGCAATCAAGTAAATTGGAGGGGATTATTTATATAATATTATTAGATATTATATTTTTTTAATAGTGTAAATATTGATAAATAGTAACAAATAAAAAAAATTGTGAAATGTAATAACGTAAATTTCCTAGTTTATCATATATATATATGTACACCAAATCTTATCATTTTAATAAATTATGTAATATAAATTTAATTGATCAAACTATGAAATTAGATGATATTATATTTAAAATCATGTATATCAAATTTTACATGATTTAAACTTTTTAAAATATATTTTTAAAAAATAAATATTTGTACATATTTTAAATTTCATATTAAACATTAAAATAAAAAAATATGCAATGAACTAGTAAATAATTTTGAATGAAATTTGATATAAATAATCTTGAATATAACATCACATAATCTAATGGTTGAAATTAATCATTTAAATTTGTATTATATAAAAAGTTTAAAAGTATAAAATTTGATATAAGTGTTTAAAATTTATACATGATGTCAAAATATCCAAACTCTATCTATTTATTTATCATCTCATATATATATATATATATATAGATATAGATATAAATTAAAAATTGCATTGAGCGTTAACTCTTAGATTTTAGCTTAATTGGACTTTTAATTTTTTGTAATATCTCTTAATTATTATTTCCCATAATGATGGTATCTTGTAAATATTTTTATAACAATCATATTTTTGGATTATTAGTAAAAATATATAATAGATAAAATTGGTAACAAGTGCGACTAAAATATCTTGAATTTTAATGTGTGAAAAAAACTTAAAAATATGATTTTTCTAGTTTAAACAAGACGAAACAACTAACTTTTGAAATGATTAAATTTTGCACAAGTGTTATCTCTTAGATTTTAGCTTAATTGGACTTTAATTTCTTGTAATTGCATTATCTTCTAGTGATCATGATCGATTATCACCTCTCTTAATTATTTTTTCCCATAATTATTTTATCTTGTAAATATTTTTACAATAATTATATTTTTTTGATTATTAGTAAAAATATATAATGGATAAAATTAGAAACAAGTGCGACTAAAATATCCCAAATTTTAACGTGAAGAAAAGTTAAAAAATATGATTTTGCTAGTCTAAACAACACGAAACAACTAACTTTTAAAATGATTAAACTACCAAACATCTAATAATATTTGAGAAGTCTAATAAGATAAATTTGTTAACTTATTCTGTTTATATATACATCAGAGCATTTTTAGGAAATCTTGTTTAAGAGAGAATTTTTAGGGATCTTCTTAACTACTTATCCAATTTAATTTTTATTTATCATAATTATTTATAAATTAAATTTTAATATTTTAAAATAAATTATCTATAAGTAAAAATAATCTTGTGCTATAATATAAATTATTTATCATACATATAAAATATAATGTATATGTTTAAAATTATCTATTTATATAAATTTTAAATATAATTTATATATTCAGGCATACTAATTTCTTTTTTATATATAATTTATGGCTTAAATATATTTTTAGTTCCTATAAAATTAGCAAATTTTGATTTAGTTCCTGAAATGTTTTTTCTATGTTTTTCATCCCTATAAAATTAAAACTATTGTTTTTAGTCTATATTTTTATTTAATCATTTTTAACTAATTTTTATTTATTAAAAAATTAAGTAACCATCTTAAGTGTTATTTACAATTATTATTGATATTATATTGATATTTAACACTTTTATAAAAAAAATTATAAATCTTTTAAAATAAATGTTATTTACCAACCTTAAAATGATCATTAAGGACTAAAAATAGCTAGTTTAGATTTTAATTTGGAGAGAAGAAAATCAAAGAAAAATATCTTATAGAATTAAAATCAAATTTTTCTTATTTTACAAGAACTAAAAATAATGATTATAAATTTTGAAAGGATGAAAAACAAAGAAATTTTTTTAGAAGGACCAAAATCAAAATTATTAATTTTATAGGGACTAAAAATATATTTAAATCATAATTTATTATAAACTTTAGTAATATAATAAATATTTAACTTGTACATTGTGCATACTAAAATATCAATAAAGTATATTTTTATTCTCTTAAATTGAATTACATTTTCTATATATCATGTTTAATTTTGATCGTTAAAATTTATTTGTTTTAAGTTCTATCATATCATATTGCTTTAACATACTTATAATGGTATGATTGTATAATTATCCTTCAAATTTAAATAAAATAAAATGTTCTTTTTATATTAACTTAATTTATTGAAAATATAATAGAGTAATTTTAATATATATACTTAATTATCCTTCAAATTTATCGGATGCACTTGCAAGAATAAAATGTTAGATATACTTAATTATATCAAATACTAAAAGTTTTTTTTTTCTACAATTCGATTTTATACTTTGATTGAGTTGGATTTTAACAATTCTTTAAACACCTTTAGTTACAATCTCAAATTGACAACAAGGTTAACAGTGTTCCAAAAATTAAATACGACTTAAGACCATAGGAGAGCAAAGTTACAAGGCCCAAATGAAGAGAAAATGGGTCAAAATATACTCAAAGTCTCGTATTTTAATATATACAGGAAGTTCCATGCATAGTTATTATTTGATTTTGGATACATCAGAATACAAAGGTATTAATTACTTTGTTTGTTAAACTTTTTGAAATTTTAGATGTTGAAGAATTATAATGATTGAGTCATCTTTCAATTTAATATGATAAAGATTTTTATTTGAAAATAGTCGGTTATTTAATATCATCACATTTAAGAAATATTCAATCATATCAATATTCCTATAAAGAGATTACTAAGAAAAAATTAATGTTTGAATGCACACGATCTTTAACAAGAAGATAAAAGAAATTTGAAATATCTTGTTTTGTATTCAAAAGGACACAAACCTTATCCTATTACACTTCTTTTCTCTATATATTCTTCAAAGTTGTTAATTTTAGTTGTTTTAACTTTCAAGACAATTATATCACTCTCTCTTTTATTTCGTATGATTTTTTTTGAGTATATTAGATATAAAGAACTCAAGATACTCATATAATAAATTTTTAGTTTTTTAAATTGTAAAATCACTTATTTATAATTCTAATATTATCTTTTTAATAAGAGAATAACTAATTCATTTAATCTATCTAGTAAAAATATTATTGAAATTTCATTTTTAAGAAATTATCAATAGTTATAATTAAAATAACTTTAATAACCATTTGAATTATTTATCGTAATTTAAAAATACATCATATATATTCAAAGGAAAATATTTATTACAATTTTAATCATAATATAATTTATATTGTTAAAAATATTTATTTATGATGATATTAATTATATCAAATAAAAATTTATTCAGTATAATATAAAAACTAAAATATATTACTACTACTAATGTAGCAAAAGAAAATCTAAAATATTACTAGTAGTTATTAGAATATTAAAATACCACACAAAATTTATACACGTACAACACACAAGCTAAAATATTACTTCTAATAACTAATTATTATTAGAATATTCAGACA